AGCCAGATTAATTTTTACATTTGAAATTATACTCATCCAAAAACAAAGTTTGGACATCAAGTCCTTAAATGATTATTCGGAGTATTTGATTATATAATCTTTCTGTTCTCCACAGTGGTTTAAAGCCCCTTCTCTTCCTGGTTAGTTACCTTTAGACCAAAACAGACTGAAGTGAAAAGATAGGTTCACAGGTGGGCTGCTGTAGTGCAGTGGGTTAAGTCACCACCTGTGATACCAGCATCCCATATGATCACTGATTCAGGTTCCAAAGGCTCCACTTCCAGTCCTGCTCCCTGATGATATGCTTAGGAAAGCAGCAGAAGATGGCCCAACTGCTTGAGCCTATGCCAATTGGGACACTCGGATTGATTTCCAAGTTGCTGACTTCAGTCTACAAGCCCCAGCCTTTCTCTTTTGTGGCCACTGGAAAAGTGAGCCAGAAGATGGAATATTCTTTCTCTCTTTCAAATAATTTTTTTTTAAATGTAGGCTCATGTAAGAGTGGAAATATGACTTCTCCAGTTCTTGTAGTTCAATCCTCTGCAAAATCTAATTTCCAGCAATAATTGGGCTCAGTATACAGACCTCTCTATCCTTTTTTGCTTGTTCATCTAAGACACGTTTACTGCGCACATCCACCTCCGGCTCAGGTCCAGTTGTGCCAAGTTCCATGGGGCTGCAGCTGTTCTCCTCTGCCCAAAGGCCCACGCACCCTGGGCTGATGACATGCCAAGTGTCTGGTGAGGTGTGCACACGGCTGTTGCACCACCACTGGGGCACAGTGTGATCCTCTGAGGCCAAGGCCAACAGTCTGGACCCACAACTGGCTGGGCAGCCCCCAAATCGTCCTCCCCTTGGTGCTCGCACGAAAACAGCCAGCGAGGCCTGTGCCCTCTGCTCCTTTCCCCGAGACAGAGTTATTTCTTCTGAGATGTCCTTTCCTCCGCAAGCACTTGCTAGCCAGCAGCTTTCAGCCCAGACAACCCCTGGCCAGACCTGAGGCTATGGAGGGCATGTATGATGCTTGTTTAGGGTCGATAATCAAGATAAAAATAATGATTACAGATAACATGCACTTTTGCATTTGGTTTGTGCCAGGCATCTGAGCTAAGGGCTACCACTTCAGGAAAAGGAGGCAGAGAAAAACCTGAACAAAAATTGGAGGGAGAAAGTGACTGAATGCTGATCTTTCTGTTCTGTTCCATGGCCACATCGTCATCAGTTGAACGCACTAGCTCTTAACACATGTGGCTAGGATAAGCTGTTGGCCTCGCACATAAAATGGCCTTATCTCATTTTGGATTGGGTGGCAGTCCTGCCTCAGTCTTCCCGCTAATGTGCATCCTGGCAGTGAACAGGTAATGGCTCAAGCAATTGGGACCCTGCCAGCTGTGTAGCAGACCTAGATTGAGTTCTCAATTCCTGGATTTGGCCCTGGCCCAGCCCTGAGTGTGGGCATTTAGGGACTAAAACATACGATAGGAATCCCTCTCTGTGTCTCTCTGCCTCTGAAATAACTTTAAAAACAATTCCATTCTGTGGAATATAAAGGAGACAATATCAAGGAGCTTTGGATGCTTATTTTTCTGAATTTGAGTACAATATAGCATTCAATTTAAAAGAATCTGTTAGTGTTGCATTTAGCAGCTTAAACCAACAAACAGAGCTGGTGTTGTGGTACATCAGGTTAAGCCACCAATGGGACACCCACATCCTGTATCATAGTACCTGGTTCAAGTCTATACCAACACACACTTCCCGTCTTGCTAATACATTTGGGAGGCCTCAAACAATGGCTCAGATGCTTGGTTGCCTACCACCCATCTTGCAGACCCAAACACCTGGCTCCTAGCTTCAGCCTGGTTCAGCCCTGACTATTGCAGCCATCTGGGGAGTGATCTAGTGAATGGGAGATCTCTCATTTTATCTTTCCCTCTCTATAATTCTGACTTTCAAGCCAATAAAGATTTTTTTTTTTTTTTTTTGGTAAGTGACAGGACCTGAATAAGGGCATAAGAACCTGGCAGGAAGCATTAAGTACCACTCTGGAGTCTCTTAGCATAGAGCTCTAACCCTGAATTTTCTCTCTGCCGCATGGATCAGTTTTGGTTCCTCTTTTACATAAAATAGGAACACTCTTCTTCTGGATCTCGAGGTATAAAAGGTCCCGGGTGACTGAGTCAATTTTGCAAGTTCTCTCTTTCTTTTCAAAGATGCAATTCAACACTCAGATGGCCACGTGGTCCAGCCAGGCCTGGAGGCACTGCCCTTTGTGTGATGCCTGTGGACACACTGTCTAGAAAAGATGGTTTGTTTCCTTATTAGCACCCACAGCATCTGTGGTGGTTCACTAAATTGTTCCCAAACCCTGCCAGGAGTGTCTTCTGATGCCCAATTAATATTTCTGTAATTTTTAACCTAGCTTGGTATGCTTTGACAACTGCAAGTCACCCTCTTCCTAATGATTAACCCACCAAATTAAGGGGGTGGTGCATGGGCCAAAACAGCTCCAAGAATCAGAGTTCATGTATCTGAGAGATAGAGAGAGAAAGAGAGAGAAACTTGCCACTAGGCCCTGTCTTCAAATGTTTTCCAGTAACTGCAAGCCCCGATCTAAGTAGCAAGTACCTCAATAAAGATCCCAGAGCAGACTAAAGCCCACCTTGCCCTTGTTCCTGGGAGAGCACCAGTGGCAAGCTACTGCTGACCAATCAAAACAGGTGACACAAGAACTGCAGGCCAGCTGGAGACCTACACACAACATGGATCTCCCAACCCCAACTTCAGTATGTTAGGTTCCTTAACCTTAATGCCTGGGGGCTCCAGGAGGTGAGAGACAGCTGCCCAGGCTCCTTGTTCCCAGCTCGCAAACAAATGGCCACTTTATCACCACTCCAGCGGTCAGTGGGTCAATCGGTCAATCGGGGGCTTACTCTGCAATGGTGTGAACACAGGTTCAGTCCTGCCTCAGTATTCTCACCCATGCATTTCCCTTACTTTGAAATACTAAGATACTTTATGATGCAAAAGCATGTTTGTCTTAAAAAAGCTGTGCATCCCTTTTTGCCAAGTTTCAGAGAAGGACTGTTACAAAAGACTAGGGCATTTCTGCACACATAGCATCCATTTCTCAGGAAGCAGGAAGTTGAGGGGACTTCAGAAAGTTTTTGGGAAAGGGAATTAGGAAACACGCTCATTTTGGTGCAGACAAAACCCCCTTTGAAATACACATATAGGAGTAAACAGCAAGTATAAAGCATAGAGCAAGAAATGTGATGCCATTTTAACTATTTTAAAACTCAGCTCTGTTGCATAGAAATGTTTGTGTGTGTTGTGTAAACCTATTGGCAGGGTTCACTTCTTCTGTACTGTTAGTTTCAGTTTAGAATGTAACCACTGTTAAATATAGCTTGTCCAACAGATGACATGTAAAAGATGCATACTTAGTTTTCTTTCACTAAGCCACTATTATGACCTTCAAAAAGGGATACCCTGTAACACTCAAGTTACCAGCCCCAGTTTCCCCAAAGCCTAAGAATGGTACAGTTCCCGCAGCATACTCATTAGCTGCAAGAGGTCACGCAGCGCTGGAATCAAATTGAAATGTGGCATACGTTACATATTGGAGTCTCAGGATTTAGTTGGGGTGGGAGGGAGTGGGAACAATGACTTTAAAAATATTCCAGTAATTTTTATTTTACTTAGGTGCTGGAATGATAAAGTTTTGGGCAGAACATATTAGATGAGTATACTGTTACCTTCATTGTTGTTTTACTTGTAAATATGCAGTGTCATTCAGTCAGAACTCAGAAACCTAAGTAAAGGAACTTCTTAGGGATTGAGGGTCCAGAGAGCTCTGAGGGCAGGTAAAGTGGAAGGGAACCCGGACTCTTACGACTGTGGGAAAGTGAAGCAAAGAACATAAGAAAAGTGGACATGTCCTTAGGACAAGAGCCTAATTGATGCACTTCCTGAGCCTCTAGGCATAATGTAACCTGCCATTTGTGTCATTCCAGATGGGTGACGTCAAAGGTGCGTGCGACCTAAGGTCATCCTTTCCCCAGTGCCCAGCTCATTATCATTTTCAGCACTGTCCCCAGAAGCATAGCAGATAAAGCACAGGCCACCCAGTTATATATCCCTGTCTGGGACACCGTTATCCTGAAAAAAAAAAATTATGTCTTCTCATCTAACGATGTATTTTCTACATCAGCAAACCTGATTCACTTGAGATCAACGTAGCTCCTCACCCTGTTAGCGCTGCTTTAGCACAGCCTCCTTGCGAGCTGTCTTTCCTTTTAATTACCAGTCAACTTCTGAGTTAACTATGCAGAAATAACTAATCTGAAGGGCACGTTTAATACGAGGCAAGTTAAATTTTTACATTTCCTTGAGAAAGTTAAAAAGAGCAACACAACATTTTGATGCAGAATAAAATCCAATAAGGGCATCTGAGAAGTCTCGGCAACAGGACTCTCCCACAACGGTCAGACGGAATCCTGGCAGCTCGGAGGCCACTCCCGCATCCTCTGCAGACCTGGGCAGTTACCGGGGACAGAGCACAGTCGCAGCCCCTGAGCCCTCCAGGCAGCGCGCCCACCCACCCCGGCCTCTGACGCCAACGCCTCGCCCGTCTCTCGGTGCCTCCCAGCAGTCTAGTTTTCGGATCCTCAGCGGCCGCCTCGGGGAGGCCGGGCTCGGGCCCCTGGCACCGGCCCCGCCACACGTGCGCGTGGCGGCCGGACCCGCCCACCCGCCGGGTCGCCCCGCCTGCGCCGCACCGCCGGCTGGCCAGCAGGGCGGGCCTTGCCGGCCCAGGCCCAGAGCCCGCCCCGGCTGGCGCCCTATGTAAGGCCGGCGGCGGCGGCGGTGCCCGGGCAGGGACGGGTGCTCGCCAGCCAGCTCGGCCGAAGGACGCTCTCCGGGTCGGCTCCTTGCTCTGTCCGGCGCCCGGGGACCCCGCGCGCACGCGCACGCGCCCTGCCCCGCCCCCCGCGCGCCGCAGTGTCCACCACCCCGGGCCTCACGTCCCGGGCGGCCGAGGGCGGCATGCGGGACTACGAGGAAGTGACCGCCTTCCTGGGCGAGTGGGGGCCCTTCCAGCGCCTCATCTTTTTCCTGCTCAGCGCCAGCATCATCCCCAACGGCTTCAACGGCCTGTCGTCCGTGTTCCTGATGGCGACCCCGGAGCACCACTGCCGGGTGCCCGACTCGGCGAACCTGAGCAGCGCGTGGCGCAACCACAGCGTCCCGCTGCTGCTGCAGAACGGCCGCGAGGTGCCCCACAGCTGTCGCCGCTACCGGCTTGCCACCATCGCCAACTTCTCGGCGCTGGGGCTGGAGCCTGGGCGCGACGTGGACCTGGAGCAGCTGGAGCAGGAGGGCTGCCTGGATGGCTGGGAGTACAGCCAGGACGTGTACCTGTCCACCATCGTGACCGAGGTGAGTACCATGCCCCGCCGCCTCTGGGGTCTGAGGTGCAGAGGAGGCAGCAACTGCATTAGCCACCCCAGGTCAGGTGCGCCCTCGCTCTGTCACTCCTCCCCAAAGCAGAACGCTGCGGTGGCGCTTCTGCATTGTGTGGCATCCCTCTGTGGGTAGGAGTCGGGCTGGTCACCCCTGAGGCCCCTGGGATGTCCTCTGGCTGCGCGTGAGATGGTACAGCATCCTTTTGCAGAAAGAAAGGAAATTGTCCCATTAGCTTTGATGACTAAAGGAAACACGTACCAGGCTTTGTCCACCTTTCCTGTCCATCCTTGCTGCGTGATGACAGCCTGGTCTTGCCCTGTGGAGAACTGAATTGACTTGGTGCCCAGGTCGCTTGTCATTCAGGAACCTTGAGGCCAAAGATACACATGTCTCCCTAGGCTGTTCTGTGGTGAACTGGCCACAGTGCTGAGTGTAAGTACACCCTTAGCTGACACAGGGTGTTAGTGGAGATCTTTGTCATGCCCCACCCCTTGGATTGTCCTCCTCATGTTTATGTCTGTCCCCTGGTGACCCTGCAGTCCCCGGAGGCTGATGTGCGTGCATGGTGCAGGTTTGACTTAGGCCCTGCCTCTCCCAGTTCGTGGAAGCATTGGCGGAACCCAGGTGGCAGCAAAGCCATACAAAGAGCCCTCTTTTATAGTTCTTTGTCACCTGTGTGTCAGGGTCAGGGATCCTGGGTTAGCGAAGGCTTGCTGGATGAGGAGGTAGCCGCTGAGTGGCTCTGAGGTGGCTCACCTGCAACAGTCCCCCCCCCCCCAAAAAAATGTGTGCCCAGTAGGAGGGTAGAGTTCATCAGGAGGGGAGGCCGTGGTGGGGGTGCCAGATGGCACTGGACATCACTGGAGACCGCTGCTGTTGTCCCCTCGGGCTCTAGGACTTGAGGTGTGCTTCCTTGGAGGCTCAGGCACACACATGTTTGTGCATGCAAGTCTGATGTTGCCGGCCCCTGTGCCTGCTCACTCCACCTGTGTAGTGGGAGTGTGACCTGACCCCTCTGGCAGTGATGTCACTGCAGTGTCCTGAGGCATTCTCTGGGCAGAAGGACAGAGCGGAGGTAGCTGACCATGGTTTGTGACTGACACACCCAAGATGGGGTGCAAAGTGGGTCCTCACCCCACACCTCCATCCTGGGTCCCCACCCTACACCTCCATCCTGGGTCCCACCCCACACCTCCATCCTGGGTCTCCATCCCATACCTCCATCCTGGGTCCCACCCCACACCTCCATCCTGGGTCCCCACCCCACACCTCCATCCTGGGTCCCACCCCACACCTCCATCCTGGGTCTCCATCCCATACCTCCATCCTGGGTCCCACCCCACACCTCCAACCTGGGTCCTCACCCCACATCTCCATCTGTTCCCTACCTGGAAGCCAGGGAGAACTAGGCGGGGACACAGCATCTGTGATGCTGCAAGGAAGCCAGACTTGATGACACAGGATTCTCCGTGTGTTCTGCAGGAGGCTGACTGAGCAAAGGAGAGGCTTGACCTTGAGGGCACTCTGGCCTGGCCCTGGGCTTGTGCCTGTATCCTGCCCCGAGGTCGGCAAGGGAGCAGCACCTCCCAGGCTGCCTGGGTGGTCTGCCTTATGTCCTTTTATCGGGTAGGCTACTAACTTAGCTGTTTGAACCGGTTTCGTAAGAACTGGGTGCCCTTTCACCTACTTCCAGGTTTCTGGCTTGGCAGGGAGGGAGGTTCCAAGGCAGCCCTTTGTTTGGGGATGTGGCGATGCCTGGTTGAAATCAAGGTGGACAGGCCCTGTGGTGAGCTGCCACATCCACATTATGACGGGGTGTTTTTCTTTTTTGGTCTAAGTTCTGCTTTATTTCAAATCCGAGCAGGCCCCATGACTGCCACAGCTTTTCCCTGGGCCTACCGAGTGTCTCCACGCCTGCCCTGTGCCCCAGAGCCCACGCAAAGCTGTTTGAATTCCCGTTCAAAGGTTTCTATAGAGACTGAAGCCTCAGGTCTCTTGTTTGTCTCCCCACCCTCTCACCCCGCTGACGTTCCTTGTTCAAGTCAAAGTACATGCACATGGCACTGAGCCTGGCAGTAGGTGCAGATCTTGCAGCTTGCCCAACTCCTGGCACAGTGCTTGCTGCAGAGGGAAGAACTTGGGAAACGTTGTTGGACAGGATGATGAATGATTTCAGGAGGCGTCTCTAAAGGGTGAGGAGAATGGACTGCAGATGGCAGGGAAACCTGGGGGTGTCAGAAAGGACCTGCCGGAGGATCTTCAGGATTCTCCATGCCATCTTGGGCTGGATACTGTGGGTCTGAAGCAAGGCATAGGATTTCCAAAGGAAGGGGACATGTGAAGGTTTGTGCTTCTGTCTTGCGAATGCTTGCATGGTTCGCATATTCTAGGCTGCCTGCCTCTCCCTCCGCCCTACCCCAGCTCACTTGGCCCACCTTGCATGCTTGTGCAATGCACAGGAAATGCCCCCTCCTCTGTGTCCCTGGATGGTCTCTCAGAGTGCCAGGGCTTCCTGTAAGCCCGCTCCCACCTGGAGACAGGAAGAACCCTTGGGAAGTGTACAGGCCTTCTAGGACCCTCCTCCTGGAGGTGGTGCAGACCCTTCTGCCTGCCTCTGCCAGGGCAGAGGGGCCCCTTGCCATCCCCATGGCTCCCGTGCAGGTTGAACCCCCTTCTCTGGCTGTGTAAAAACCATTGCCTGCTGGTTCAAGGATCTAATGGGAAATCAGGGAGCAAAGAAAATCACTCATCCTGGAGACTGGAACTTGGGTCTCTCCTGAGTCCCAGGTGGTAAAGCCCAAGAGCCAAGCCCAAGGCTCCCACAGCATGGTGTGGAAGCTTGGCAGCCGGTCTCTCTCCCCACGTGATCTCCCACTCCCTGCCCCAGCGTCCCTGCACTGTAGAGGACTTAGGGGACACTTTAGCTGTAACCTCTTGACCTCAGGAACTATAGCTGGAGGCAGCCCAGCAATCTGTGTCCATCTGATGCATAGGCCACTGGGTCATGGGCAGCGCTTATCTGCATGCTTGGCCACCGATGCACACCGGCTAGGTACATCTCAGGGAGAGCCGCTGCCCTCTGGCCGTTGGCTATGGCCCTTTCCTCCTCCAGCCAGTTCGTAGATCAGAACATGTTGTCCTGGGAGAATGATGTCATCTCTGCTTCCCACTACTGAAAAGCGTCCTGGGTCCTGTGTAAGGTGTGAGAGACACAGTGCTTGGGGTGTTTGGAGGGGTGGGGGGCAGGGGAGGGGATAACAGCTTTATTGAGAAACAGCTAACCTTTTCGAACTGCACATGAACGTGAAGTGTGCCTACAGTCCTGTGGAGCCAGAACTGTCAGAAAGGCACATTTCCAACCAGATAGCACAGTCACTTTGGACCCTTGTCAGAGTCGCTTCCAGCTTTCCCAGCTCACCCACCCAAGGGGTAACCTGGCAAGACCCACACATTCAAGTGGTAGCACAGACCAGCTGGTCCATAGCTGCTGTAGTCATGGCTGGGGAGCCAGGAGCTTAGTGCAGGGGCACAAGTACCTTTGTAAATGCATGAAGCAGAGTGTGTTTGGCCTGCACTCTGGGCTCCTCACCCTGTCCTCGAAGGAGAAGGCAGGCCAAGCCCCGGAGCCCATGGCAGCCTGCCCTGTCATGTTCAGGTAGGCAGGTGCATTGGCTGGGCCAGGACCCAGTCTGTGTTTGTTTCGGTAATCTGTCACGGGCCTCTATGGCTGGTGGGGAAGAAGTGTAATTGCTGGACACGGCACGGTAGCCTAGCAGCTAAAGTCCTCACCTTGAACACACTGGGATCCCATATGGGTGTTGGTTTTAATCCTGGCATCCCTGTTTCCCACCCAGCTCCCTCTTTGTAGCCTGGGAAAGCAAGGATGGCCCAAAGCCTTGGGACCCTGTACCTGTGTGGGAGACCTGGAAGAGGCTCCTGGCTCCTGGCTTCAGATTGGCACAGCTCTGGCTGTTGCGGCCACTGAGAGGAGTGAATCGATGGACAGAAGATCTTTCTCTTTGTCTCTCCTCACTGTATATCTGACTTTCTAATAAAAAATTTTTTTTAAATCTTTTTAAAAAGAAATGCAATTACTTTGGGAAGGACTGGTATCCAGGACCGTCCATGGTGTGCAGTGCCCACCATCACTCCTTTGAGTTACAAACCTGCCGGACTGAGGACCAGCCAGACCACATGGGGGAGGGGAGGCTGGAATGTCCTGGGCCCATGCCCAGAGCAGAGTCTCACAGGGCTTCAGGTAGCCCCTGGTCTGGCCAGCCTGGAGTCTGTTCTAGGGAGACCTGACAAAAGACCACAAAGCCCCAGAACTACCATAGTGACTGTGGGGATCCGACATGGCTCAGCCTCGGCAGCCCCTGACCCTCACACAGACAGGCTGAGAAATGGCTAGCAGCCCGTTAGTCATTGGGTCTTCTCAGTTACTGCAGAGGTAACACCTGCTGCGTGGAAGGGAGATGCACCTGAACACCAGAGTGGGCCCTGAAGCTCAGCCTGGCTGCCGAGACTCTCAGCTCCGCCTGGCCCCTGACCCTGGACTTTGTTTCAGCAGCCATGGGAGACATGTCTGGGTGCTGCCACTGCTGAGGCCACGAAGATGGGAGGCTACAGCAGCTTGAGTGGTCAGGCCTTGGTGCCCACGCAGACCCCACTCTGAGCGCTTGTGGGTGTGTCTGACCAGGAGTAGAAAGCCAGCAGCTGCCCCTGTGAGCCAGGCCACCCACCATGGACATTCTCTGTGTCTGGCCACCCCCCAACCACTCTCAGAGGTACCAGGCAGATGTGTGCGCACTGTCCAGCAGGGCAAAGAAACAGATTTACACTTCCCCATTGGAAGAGAGGCTTTGTTACAGACTGCTGGTCAACCCTGCTGCCTGTGTCCATGCCTCAGGGGCGGCAGGCTATGCACTCCGCAGGCAGGTATCTGCAGAGGCAGCCGCTGAGCTCTGTCTTCTGGGAAAGGTTTTCCTGGGAACCGCCAAGGTTCCTGTAGTGGCATCCTTCCTTTTTGACTTCATGTTAGGCCAGGACAGCCTGGTGTCTGTGGCTTCAGCCACTGACCCCTTACTTCACCTCCGGGCCTTTTTCCCACTTGTGTGAGCTATGGCTCCTACCCTTATCTCTGTTGTATGAGTAGGAAAGTTTAGGCACACAGGCATGTGTGACCCCAAAGTCAGCTTCCGGGCTCAGGGCCCTCAGCTGCAGCCAGGCCTCCAGACTGGTGAGCAGCATCAGGAATGCCCACTGCAATGCCACAGGGAAGATCCTGGGGTTGCTGGGCCAGGATGGGAACAGGTCCAGGGGCTGCCCCCTCAGCTCCCCTCCTAGTGCACTCGTGCCAGTGGGGAGTTGGCACAAGACTTTCCCTTTCTCTGGATGGAAGCAGACAGTGGGACACAGGTGCCCACTGTCAGCCCTGCCACCCAGGACAGCCACGCCCACTGGGTGGAGGTCACACACCCAGAGCGTGCTGGTTTCTCACGAAGTCTTGGATTTGTTGAAAAGTGACTGACGTGTACCTTTGCTCCTCTTCTAGTGGGACCTGGTGTGTGACGACGACTGGAAGGCCCCGCTCAGCATCTCCTTGTTTTTCGTGGGTGTGCTGGTAGGCTCCTTCATCTCGGGGCAGCTGTCAGACAGGTAAGACATCCACTTTGGCACCAAGTGAGGAGCCCGGCCTGGCCCGTGTGTCCTAGTCCACTCGTATGTGCGTGAGCCTGGCTTGCCTCGTGTGGGTTAACGTGGCCCTCTTGTGCCCCTAGGGATGGGAGAGGGCAGACAGTACCCACATATGCATGTGTGCCATAATGTATATCTAGGGGCGGCTGTCCTGGGGTTGGGGGTAGGAGGCACGTCTGTATTCCCAGGACCAGCATTCTGTGTGTGAGGTGAGAAGAGCAGAGCCCGGGGTCCCTGGGGGTGATGTCGCTGTGCTCTGAGGTTTACCATCGTGGCGGTCACTGTAAGGCAAGGGACAGTGCTGTTGTACGCCAATTCTCATGAGCAGGCTGTTTGTGCCATTCTGAAACTTTTCATTTGAGTTCCTTTCATGGCTTTAAGAGTCACGAAACCCTTGAAATGACCAGCCAAACACTGGCAAGTGGGTGCGTATGTGAGCGATTCTGGGAGCGAGGTCAGCGGCTTTCCTCCCGTCCTTCAGGGGAGGGGTCTGTCAGGGGGTCTCTCCCAGCAACCCAAGGCCGGAGGTCCCTAGCCACACGGACACGCGGGAACCCACACACAGCTGCAGCAGAAGGCTCCCGCAGGCCTTTGTGCCGGTCAAGGGCATCTCCCTGAGGAGCACGGCCACTTGACCCTGCAGCGCGAGCTGTGCTGGCGTTTTGTCCCATTTCCACCCATGGGTCACTGTCTTTGCCTGCGGAGTCTTTCTGAGACATTCACGCTTGGGTATTTTTCAACAGTTTATCTCTCAGAGGTTGTCCAGTAGCTGAAGAAAGGAAAGTTCTGTGTTAGCCACTTAACTCAGAGGTTACTGTGCCCTGCCCCCATTCTGTGTTTGGGTTCAAGCTCCAGATCTATTTCTGTGAGTTTGATTGGGGTTCCTCTATAGGTCACTTGATTTTTCTCACATGCACATTTAAGGATTTTTTCCTTTTGTTCAACTGAGGAGAGCTTGATTATCATGTGTCTTGGTGAAGGTTGCTTTTTGTCAACCCTGTTGGGAGTCCTGTGCCCCTCTTGGATATTGTTTCCTAATTCTTTCTCTAGATTAGGGAAGTTTTCATCTATTATTTCATTGAATACACCTTTAATCCCAGTTGCTCTTTCTGTGCCTTCTGGAACTCCCATAATTCTTATGTTGGGCCTTTTAATTGTATCTTTTAATTCCTGGATACTTTTAGCTTGGCCTAGCTCTGCTTCCAGCTTTTTGTTTGTTTCCCCATGGTGACAGGAAATATCTTCCAATTCTGATATTCTTTCTTCTGCTTCATTCATTCTATTTTTTAGACTCTCCACTGTACTTTTAATTTGCTCCACTGTATTCTTAACTTCTGAAATGTCAGCTTTCATTTGATTCATTTCCTGTGTAACAAATTCTTTAAATTCTTTGAACTCTTGTATTATGTGCTTCTCATTGTTGGTCAGAAGCTTTATAATAAGTTTTCTGAATTCTGTGTCCCCCATTTTTTCAATGTCTTCCTCAGTTAACTCTGAGGGTGGTAGAGGCTTTTGTTCCTTTACTGGGGAGTCTTCAGTAACATTCATTGTGCCTCTGTCTCTTAACTTTTGACATTGCAATCCAATTTAGTGCATTTTTCTCCTTAGTGAAAATGTCTAAGATATATTACCTACACATCTATAAGTCAGTCTTTATGTACAATGTCCTGGAAGACGCCAGCTGTTCCAGATAACTGGTTTATCAGCAGCACTGATCTTGTCTAAACACACAAGATGGTGGCTGGCAGAGCACTGCCGAAGAGCCAGGGCTGTTGGCTTTCTGATCCGGGGACCACACAGATCCGACTTGCTTCCAATGCAGCTCCCTACTAGTACACACCCAGGGAGGTAGCAGGTCAGAGCTCAGGTCCCTGTCACCCGTGTGGGACAGCCGGATTGCCTTCCCGGCTCCTGACCTCTGCCTGTGGCAGTCATTTCAGTAATGAACTCATGTGTGTGTGTGTGTGTGTGTGAAATAAATTTAAAAATTTAGAAACAATGATGACCATGAAGTAAAGACCGCCATTTGCATTGTACGAATGGGGACAGTGCTCCATAGAGAGGTCAGTAAAGTGTCCCCAGGTGCACAGCTGGCACAGGGAAGAGCACCCTTGCTGGGCATGGACCGCTGGGCATGGACCACCATGCTAGGTCCCTGTTCTTCTGGAACTCTCCCTGCGAGAGGAAGTATGTGAAAGAACCAGCTGAGGAAGTGAGTGTGACCCTGGGCTGTGCTGAGCGAGACAGGACAGGGTGTGGAGGCAGCGTTTCAGCAGAAGTCTCAGCGGCCTCCCTGCTGGGAGAAGCCTTGGCTGAGGGTTGGACGGTAGATAGAAGGACCAGATGAAGGGGTGGAAGGAAGGAGCGTCTGGCAGAGAAAGCAGCCTGATCTCCAGGCAAAAGCTCCGCAAGAGATAGAGGGACAGAAGACTCTGCCGGAACGGTGATGGAGAGATGAAGACACTGAATTTAGGGTGACCTGAGAACCTCACGTGGGGACCTGGAGGGGACAGTTGGAGATGAAGACAGAAGTTTGCAGGAACACATTTGGGAATTGTCTGCTAGTGGAGGACTCATTGATGTTCAAGTCCCTGCCTCTCTCCTTCAATCCAGCTTCCCGCTAAAGCATTCTGGGCAGCAGCAAAGAGCAGCCCAAGTGCGTGGGCCTCTGCCACCCACAGGGGAGACCTGGAGGCCGTCCTAGGCCGCTGCCTGCTAGCTGACCCAACCCTAGCAGCTGCAGGCTTTTGGAGAGCAAACTGGTGGATGAGCAATTTCTCTCTCCCCTTTTCAAATAAATGAACGCCGTTTTAAATATTGTCGGCAGCGCAGTTTTGTTTTAAAGTCAGGCCATTGAAGTCCAGTAAGGGACAGAGTCAAGGGTATGGCTGCTCTGCCTGCAGCCCCTGCCTTCAGCTCCCAGCGCCCTCATTCACACTCTCGTGCACCCCCCCACGGAAGGCCCAGGGCACCCGCGGGGGGGGGGGAGGGGACAGAGGCCTCATTAATTACCTAAGAGCAGCAGAGTGCTACCTGTCGCCTCATCTGGGATACCAGCAGTAACTTTCTACAGGGAACGAAAATGCCATCAGAAAGTCAAGAGCGGTTAAAATAGTCCTTTGTCATCACAGCCTTTCATAGGTGGCTGTGACCACCTGCCTGTGCACACTGTGAGAGGCCCAGCCCAAGGAAGCAGCAAACGGGCGGTGTGGTGTGGTGTTTCCTGTGTTAGCAGGGGTGTGTGTGTGTGTGTGTGTACACATGCAGCAAGTGGGAGCTGCCGTGCACTGAGGCTTTGTGAAGGCCCCTCAGGACCTTCTTCCTCTCCCTTCCCAGGGGAGGGCAGCAGGGTAAAGGTCAGGCCTGTTTTCCGTGCAGTGAGGCCTGCTCCTCGGTTAGCCTGGGGAGCACACTGCTTATGTAACAGTCCAGGACACACTGACGTCTTTCTACCCTGGCCCTGTGAGCAGGGTCAGCGGAGGCCAGGCCATTTTTTTTTTTTAATTGGAAAGTCAGAGTCACAGAGAGAAGGGGAGACAGAAAGTTCTTTTGTCCACCAGTTCACTCCTCAAGTGGCTGCAGCAGCTGGAGCTAAGCTGATCTGAAGCCAGGAGCCAGGAGCTTCTTTTGCATGTCCCGTGTGGGTGCAGGGTCCCAAGGCTTTGGGCCGTCCTTGACGGCTTTTCCAGGCTACAAGCAAGGGAAGTGGAGCAGCTGGGACATGAACCAACATGCAGTCCCAGTGCATGCAAGGCGAGAACTTTAGCCACTAGGCTACTGCACTGGGCCCCCACAACCATCTTTAATAAAAAGCTATCTCACAGCCTTGACCCTTGTAGGCCTGGCTTCTTTGGAGTGGTGTCTCTCTCAGTTTGCTGTCATCAGGGAGAGCATCCCTGGTCGCCTGGTTCTCCACCAGGCTTCTCCCTCATCTCTCAGAGAGCTGGGCGCTATGGTCTTGGTGCACATGTCTCGCTGGGTAGTCCTGTGGCTGTTGGACTGATATAAGTGTGCTGACCCAGCCCTGGTGCCCACCATGGAGTGGGAGGAGCCCAGGGACAGGGAGTGACCCCGGCTGCAGGGCTCCTGGTGACCTTCTCTACGACCCCTGTCTGGACACATGAGGTGGGAGCGGGGGGATTAAAGCCCTCGTGGTACGGCCTGTTCCCACCGCCTCCTCCCTCCCTCTTCCTCCCCAGGTTTGGCCGTAAGAATGTGCTGTTTGTGACCATGGCCATGCAGACGGGCTTCAGCTTCGTGCAGGTCTTCTCCACAAACTTCGAGATGTTCACTGTGCTGTTTGTCCTCGTAGGCATGGGCCAGATCTCCAACTACGTGGCAGCATTTGTCCTGGGTACGGCCATCAAGTCAGTCACGCGTGCTGGGTCCCATGTTCACCGACAGCTGGCCCCCACCCTTCCAGTGTCCCTCAAGGGATGTGGTCTCTGGCAGTGCTGGCTGCCCAGGGCACCCAGTCCACCCAGTTCCCAGGCCTGCAGACTGAAGCAGCCAGTCGCCAGCACGCCCCAACAACCCGTCCTCGTGTTTCCAGTTCCCTAAAGGCCTCTGGGGTGCAGAGCCTTGGTGTAGGTGTTACCCGGTGGCCATCTTGCTAAGCCTCTTCCAGAGCCTGCCAGTCTCAACAAGAGCCTGCCCCAGCCAGGGTGAGGTCCCTGGGGAAAGGAGGGAGGCAGGAAGGCAGAGTGAGGGCTGTGAGTGGCAGGTGTACCAGCCAGCCCTGCCTCCTCCGTGGAGTGCTGGGCCCTGACCAACCCCCACCCCCACCCCGTCCAGGGCTGTCACTCAAGTGGCCTGCCCACCCATCCTCTCTGACCCTGTGCCAGGCTCTTTGTTTTCAGGCCCCAGGGGTTGAATGCGGAAGGGGTGATTGTTTTCAGTGTAATGGGAGCCTTTTTTCCTTGAAGGGTGATAGTCAGCAGGTGTGGCTCCAGGACGCCTTCATCTCCTGCGGGAGGGGTTTCAGGGCGTCCTGAGAGGGCCGCAGTGTCTCCCCCTGGTGATGGGCAGAAGGATCTGAGTTCAGAATCTCCTCCTTCCCCCACGTCCCCACCCCCAGGCTCAGGAACCGGGCCAAGACAGTTCTGGCCGCCACCTTGTCTGTGAGCTGAAAGCTGAGACCATGGCTGGCCCACTCACGGGGAAGTAACCCGAATTAAAATGCCTCCCTGACCCCCTCCCTCCCTCCCTCGTGTCGAACAGGAACAGAAATTCTCAGCAAGTCGGTCCGGATCGTGTTCTCGACGTTGGGCGTGTGCATCTTCTACGCAGTGGGCTTCATGGTGCTGCCGCTGATCGCCTACTTCATCCGGGACTGGCGGATGCTGCTGCTGGCGCTGACGGCGCCCGGGGTGCTGTGCGCCGCGCTGTGGTGGTGCGTGAGGAGCGGGGCGGGACCTGCTCGGGCGCTTCTCCCGGCTGGTCACCAGAGGGCAGCAGCAGCCCAGGGGCCCTCGGCCGTCTCCCGACGTTCTCTGCCCTCAGAAGTGCCCGAGCAGGGTGGTACTTCAGCCCGCTCCGGCAGGCCTGTTCCCGACCTGTGCCGAGCTGACCCAAGTGCAAGGAGAGGAGGACGAAACTGGGGCCATGGGTGGCTCAGACCCCGGGCAGCCTCGGCTGCCAGCTGTGTGGTGTGTGGAGGCCGCTGGAGCTGCCAGTTTCCGAGGAAGAGAGAGAGAGAAAGGGAGGGAGGGAGGGAGGGAGAGAGACTGAAGGGCAAGAGGAGGCTGCTCTCTATCCAGGAGACGGCGCCTAGTCAGGGGCCCAGCAGGTGCAGGGGAAGGGGCGATCCGTGGCCCACGTGGGGCAGACTGCATTTCAGGGCAGGATGGGAGAGGAGATCGTGTGGTGGGGCCCCTTCACGGTGAGCAGCAAATGCCCACAGAGGCACCCACCCACCCAGGGATGCCTGGGCTGGGGCAGGAGCTGGCCCAGCTAGTGACAGGCAGCAGGAGCCATCTTGGGCCCGGCTGTCTCCTTAGGCCCCAGCAGGGGGCCACCACACTCTTCCTGTGGCTGCAGTCCCCAGGACCGGCCCGAGGCATTTTCCCCCGGAGCTCACACGCAGGGTCACCCCCCGAACCCACACGTGCCAGCTCCGCGTGGGGGAGCCGCCGGCCCCGTTGCCCGGCCCCATTGGCAGGGTCGCCTCCCTGAGGTTGCCACCCCTGCCTCCAGGTTCATCCCGGAGTCTCCCCGCTGGCTCATCTCCCAGGGACGCTTTGCAGAGGCAGAGGTCATCATCCACAAGGCCGCCAAGATCAACGGTGTCCTGGCCCCTGCCACCATCTTCGACCAGAGTGAGGTGAGCGGCCTCGTGGCCACGCCCCGTGACCACGCCCGCCGGGCCCTTCCATGACCACGCCCACCACAGCCCTTCCCTGTGACCACACCCATCACAGCTCTGTCCCGTGGCCACGCCCACCACAGCCCGGCCCTGTAGTCACGCCCACCAAGCTCTTACCTGTGGTCATGCCCTCCATAGCTCTGCTCCCCATAACCACGCCCACCAACAGCCCTGCTCCCCATGAGCACGCCCACCAACAGCCCTGCCCCGTGCCCCGTGACCACGCCCATCGCAGCCCTTCCCCATAACCACGCCCACCACTGCAGTTGCCCATACACATCTGTCCCCCAAGCAAGCCCTCCCTCTGAGCCTTAGAAGTCCTAGGGGACAACTCCCTCCACCCAACCTCTGTGGTCTTTGCAGACAGTATTTGGGCTTTAATGCTTCTGTCCACTTCCTATCCAGGCAGTTGTATGCTTAGACCGTTAGTTTCCATGATAAACACCCTTCCTGAATGCCAGGTCTCTCTCAAAGTTGGCATTTGTGGGGTGGAAAGTGGGGGGATCATGGCCCCTTGTGCCTACTAAGGTGGCCTGTTAGACATGAAGAAACCCTGTGTGTATCAGGCCCAGCGTGAACACCCTTAGGGTGAGACACAGGACACCTCCTCCTGCCCTGTCCCAGCAGTCAGCCCTCTCAGCTGGAGCCCTGTGGTCATCAGGCTCCTCCTGGCAGGCCCTGTTCTTGCACTCCCCAATGGGGCTGGGCTCCACCCAGGTCCTGTTCCCCTGCACCTCCTCTTCCAGCAGGCAGTTCTCCCGGGTCTCTCCCTTCAAGCAGAGCCCAGAAGCTGACCACCAGTGGCCGACAGAGCTCTGTAGGCATGCCTGGGCTGCTGGGTAGGCAAGGGCCTGGCCCCTGTGGGTATGTACACTGCAGGCATGCTACAGGACCTCAGCACTTGCCATACAAATCGGGTGAGAGGAGCCAGCCACTGCGGCCAGCGGAGGGGCCGAGGGCTAGGGCCATCGGCTGCCCCCTCTGGTGTCCAGGCTGCGTGGTGGCCCGGGAGCAGCTCCTGCTGAGCACACGGAGTGTGGCAAAGAGGGTTTCTGAGACAGGGTCAGTCTGGGTGAAGCCACACTCCCACTCTTCCCCTGGCATCCTTGAGGAAATGAAGCTATTTCCAGGGATCCGGGAGTCAGCAGCTTGACCTTTGGTTGAACTGCGAACCCTGGGAAAAACACAGCCCAAAGCTGGGTTTGCTTAAGAAAACAGCCTCCTTGTGTTTAGACGTGTGGCTTATTAATGGCCTTGCCTGTGCCAAACTTCATAGGAAGTCACACTGGGTGAAGCTCAGGTCAATTTTCCTGTTTTTCTGTTTGATGTTTCCCCCTGCCTCCCTGGAAGTAGACCAGTAACTACACGGTCCAAGGGCTCAAAAACACTGATTGTTTCACAACGTCAGATCAATATAGGACACAGGCTGTTTTCTCTCTGTGACTCAGAGGGCCAGGAGCCAGGCCCTGGTGGAATATTTGCAGGGTCCCCCTCCTGCCATTTGGGATGTGGCCACTGACCAGACAACCCCAGGGAGGGGTGGAGGGTGGTGCGCTTGAACCTCTGCCCTCAGTGCACCCCAAGGGAGCGCTCCCCCACCCTTTTCCTCTGATTTGCATGTGAAGATGGCTCCCTGCCACCAAGCCCCACAGAACCAGGGTGCCAGGCACATCCCCGAGTGCTCCATCTCTGCCCTGCCCTCTCTCCCTCCCACACCCTGAGTCATGTTGTCTCTGCAGCTACAAGACCTAAACTCCAAGAAACAAGCGTCTCACCGCATCCTGGATCTACTGCAAACCCGGAACATCAGAATGGTCACCATCATGTCCATAATCCTGTGGTGTGTACATACGTGACACCTGCCGACACTAGACACTCTGGGTGTGGCTGTGACACCTGCCACATCGCAGACAAGCCTCAGAGCCCATGCGTGTGGTTGGAGTACAAGGGCTATGTCCCAAGACCACCGGGAGCCCTGAGCCTACCACCCTTGTCCCCATGATGGGACTTTGGGGCGGGGATGAGGATAAGGTGGCTGTGCAGTTTGCTTGGAGATATTGTGTGGTCCTGACTGAGTCCTTGCTCTCCATCCATCCCAGCTGAGTTCTCCTCCTATCTAGTCTCAGAGGTGGCTGGGAGGGCAGGTACAACATGGAGCTGTGGAAGCAGAGCATGCTGCTTGCGGGGAGCTCACCCACACCCAGCAGTCAGGGCCCTGGCCCATGCATCCTCATTCAGCCTCCATCTGATAAGACCTCGCTCAAGTGCCAGTGAGGGGCTTGTCAGGTACCCAAGTGCCTGAGTAGCTTGTGCTGGTCAGGCAGACCGTTGAGTTGGGCAGGGACTACCTGAGCAATGGGCAAAGAGTACAGACTCACCCCGGAGTCCTTATCACCAGGATCTTCCAGCTTTGGGTCACCCAACTGTGCTGCTGTCAATGGGCCAGGGTCCCTCCGGGAAAGGCACTGCTCCCTGAGTTGGCCTGCTGATAAGACTCGCAGGGAGCCTGCACCTGCCAGCCTTCAGGGACCCCCTCCCAACTCCTCCAGGCTCGGCTCCCTGCTCTGGGCTTCCAGGGACACGTCCCCTCCTCTTCCCCTTCCTCATTCCAGCTGTGCTTTCCACCTGCAGAGGGGTCAAAAGCTGTCTGACCCTTAAAGCAGTGGGTGTCAACAGCAGAGAGGATGTCTCCCGGGGACAGGGTGTGGACAAGGACACTGAGGGAATGTGTGGAAGACACAAGGCAGCTCCACCATGCGACACCACCACCCTTCTACACAGCTACAGAGGGCTTTGTGCCAGCTGCCCCAGACCAGCCCCTTCCTGGCCGGTCAGCGCAGGTAGTCCACAGGCTCTGGCTCCAAACCATTTGAGCTCATGTTGTGTCCTGTGTTGTCTTATCTCTTCCCCCCTTTCCCTGGCATCTTCCTCCTTGGCAGCTGCTGGATGCCAAGAGATTCAGAGAAGAGGGAAGTGGCTGCTGTGGCTCATGGCAGTGGGAAGACAGGTGGGGGTGACTGTTTTAGTGAAGGCCCTCGGGCCCAGGCACATTTGCCATGTGTGGGCATGGAAGCTGGCGCCAAGCTCACAATGCAGCCTTGCTATGACCTGTTCAGGCCAGATGTCAGAGGTGGGGGGATGGGGAGGATTTACTGAAATGACTGTGTGCCAAGTCGTGCTGTTGGGAGAGGCGCGTGTGGTTAGTGCTTCTCCAGCTCTGCTCTCCCCCCCCCCCATTCTAGGATGACCATCTCCGTGGGCTACTTCGGACTGTCCTTGGACACGCCTAACCTGCATGGGGACATCTACCTGAACTGCTTCTTGTCGGCAGTGGTGGAGGTGCCGGCGTATGTGCTGGCCTGGCTGCTGCTGCGATACCTGCCCCGGCGCTACTCCATGGCCGCCGCCCTCTTCCTGGGCGGAGGTGTGCTGCTCTTCGTGCAGCTGGTCCCTTCAGGTACGGACCTCGGGACCCTACAGCCCTTGGCTCTGCTTTTTTTTTTTTTTTCTAATTTCCTTCTAAAGTTAATTAATTTATTTGGAAGGTAGAGTCAGAGACAGAGACAAAAATCTTCTATCCACTTGCTCCCTTGGCTCCCTTGCCAAATGGCTGTAATGGCCAGAGCTGAGCTGGTCAGACGCTAAGAGCTTCCTCTGGGCCTCACACATGGGTGCAGGGTCTCAAGCGCTTGGGCCTCCTCTGCAGCTTCCCTAGGCATGTTATCAGGGAGTTGGATCAAAAGTGGAGCAGCAGGACTCAAACTGGTCCCCATATGAGATGCCAGCGCCATAGGCAGAGGCTTAACCTAATACAGCAAGGCGCTGGCCCCAACTTGGGTCTACTGTCTTCCTCATTTGAGATGGAGGACCAGATTGGGTCCTTTGCAGCTCCCCTGCATTGATGCATTCTTGACTTGTCTCTGGAAACCAGAACACTCTTCCTGCCTTGGGCTGTGAGGGCATGGGAGGGAGCAGAGGCTGGGGCTGTCACTCAGCGTGACTCCCTGCCCACATTCCTGCACCCAGCTTTGTTTGCCTCTCCAGAGTCAGGGGGAGGCAAGAGAGGCAGCCCCATTGTTCCTTTGCTGGCCCTGTCTTCATGCAACACACAGCTGAGGAGTGCCTGATCTGGGCCAGGCAGCTGGCCCAGCACTGATGGTAGAGAAGTCTGGAGGCCCACCCAGCTCCCAGGCTCAGGGGGCTCTGGGCCTTGCCACGGAAGACACCAAACATGTTAACACAATGCTCATAGCTCAGCTCGTGTGTCCTCCTATGGAGAAAAAGTACAAGGCAGCAGGGAGTTGGCTCAGGGCGCCCAGAACATTTCAGGAAGAAGCCCCAGCACAGTGAATGCCAGAGCAGAGGGGACCTGGCACATTTGAGGAGAGAGGACGCTGGGAAGAATGGGAAGAATGGGAGCAGGGGGCCAGGTCACACAGAGGGTCTCCCAGGTGGTTGGCAGAACGTGATTTCTGAAGTTGTCATGCTTGTCTACAGGTAGGCGGGAGGTAGCCCTTGCCCACAAGCTTCTAGAACAGTGCATGGGCCCTCATCTGGCCTCTGTGTGGCATCATTTTTGCACTTCTGGGTTCAAGAGTCACCGGTGGTCTCTCTGGGGGCTATGGGCCGGGAACACTGACTGAGGGAGCAGTCCCAGTATGACATAGCCAAAGGAGGAGCTCTGAATGGGTGCAGACACACCTGAAATCCAGTGACCCCCGCACGGTTCAGCCTCCCCTCACTGGACCATGAGGAGGAAAGCTGGGCCACACAGGAGTTCCTTCCCGAGGTTTCCATGGCCCACGTGCTTCTTTGCATCTGAGCAGAATGAAAGCAAGCAGTGACAGTCATGCAGTGGTTGCTTGGCATGTGCAGTAGGAGGCTGTAGGGTGGCAGACCTAACTGTGGGGAAATAGGGTGGTGCAGGAGCTGCCCCTGGTGGGCTGTGGGATAAGCAGCCCACTCACTCACCGCACCACAGGCCCCAGCCTCCCCTCGGGAATCAACTCGGAAGCACTTCTTGTCTGTAGCCCTTTATCCCACCACAGGAAGTCATAAGAGAGAATCAGAGGAGAAAGAAACAGAGCTGTCATGGCAGCACCCCTGGGGTGGATGTCCACTCCCACCTCCTTTATCTTTGCCTCTCTAGACTTGTACTACTTGGCTACCATCCTGGTGATGATGGGCAAGTTTGGAGTCACTGCTGCCTTCTCCATGGTCTACGTGTACACGGCTGAGCTGTACCCAACCGTGGTCAGAAACATGGGCGTGGGCGTCAGCTCCATGGCATCCCGTCTTGGCAGCATCCTGTCACCCTATTTCGTGTACCTGGGTAAGTCCCAGGGTTCCCCTGGCATGCTGGGGCAACAGGATGGAAGCACTCACCAGCTCTCACAATGCGGAAGGGGAAGACACTCCCATTCCAACTTGGGACTAGCTAATGAGCTAGATGGTTTGGCATTTTTTTAAAGCTTCCTCTAGCTTCTGTTGTAGAATTCAGTTCATCCTAAGGCACTGCAGAGTGGTTTAGGAAGCCACTGGTCTTGCCTAAAGAACTTACTTCTTTGAATTAATCTTTAAAAAAAGAAGAAGAAATACTGATTTGGGAGACACTACAAAACATAGAATTCACACCTGCTGGTTCCCTCCCCACATGCCCACAGCTAGGACTGTGCAGGGGCTGAAGCTGGGGACCCAGTCATCTGAGCCATCACCACTGCCTCCCCGAGTCCACACTAACAGGAAGCTAGGGGCAGGGGCCAGAGAAAGGTACTCAACATAGTCACCCTAGTGTGGGACACAGGCAATTTAACCAGCATCCTAGCTGCTAGGTCAAGCGCCCACATGCTGGGATTAGCATCCATAAGACACCTGAAGGGCAAAGATGTTCCCTCTTGACTCTGGAGGTCTGACCAATTCTGAATTGTTGACCCATGGAGCACTTCACACCGCGCTTCATGCTCTGTCCACATGACTCATGCTATTCCATGTGGCAGGTACCAACAATCCCTCAAAGTCACATCCCCACGGTGGCTGCTGTTCCTTCCACGTGCCCAGCCATCGCCTCTCCAAAGGAATGGTGCCTACTTCAAGGATGCTCAGTGAGCACATGGCGCTGCCCAGCAAGCAGCGTCATCATCTGGTCTGGCTGAAAGCCTACCACACAGAGTCTGCCGCATGTCGCGCAAGGGAGCACATGCTTGTGCCCAGATAAGCACCTGCTGGTACTCAGAAACCCAACACAGGGGAATAAGAATAATCATGTTCAGCTCCACCCCGCCCTACGCCTGCATGGGAACAAGTCACAGTCCTACAGCTTGAACCATGGCAAGTGCTGAGGACAGTAGGACAGTAGGGTAGGCAGTTCCCTTTAGAGAGTCCTGGGTGATAAAGGGACAGTAGGGTACAAGTCTAACAGCAAGCCGGGGCCTCTGTCCTCACCGCAGGTGCCTACGACCGCTTCCTGCCTTACATTCTCATGGGGAGCCTGACCATCCTGACCGCCATCCTCACCTTGTTCCTCCCAGAGAGCTTCGGCGTTCCCCTACCAGACACCATTGACCAGATGCTGAGGGTCAAAGGGTAAGGGCCTCTTCCTTCTCAGGGCTGATGTGGTGGGGCTGGGTCAGGGCTGGGCAGGGTCCTCCTTGGAGGCCATCCCAGTGGAATGTCACCAGAGCGTGTCCACCAGAGGGTGTATAAGGTGAAGTGTGTGTCCCTGGTCTGACACTGAGCAGAAATCACCAGGCATACATGTCCATGGGGATGGGAATCCCAGGGACAGGGGCAGCAGCCGGCAGAGACCTTCCAGCCTCTGCTGTCCTTCTAACCCAGCAGGCGTCTTTTTCCAGGATCAGTGTCTGCCATCTGACTGGCTTGTTTTTAAATAGATTGAAATACAGGCACAACCCAAACCACACGAAGATACTGAGAGACAGCGAAGAGAGCCCGGCAATACTTAAGAGCACAGCGTTTTAGCAGCCTCCAGTGAAGGGGAATGACTGCGCCCTGACACAGGAGGCCATGCAGACCCCCGGTCATCCAGGGACACGGGCGTATGCTGTGGATCCTGTCAACCTGCGTGTGACCGGCTCGCAGACAGGCCTTGATGGCCACCGTGGCCACTCCCTACTACAGGGGGCACAATGCACTGGACCTAATGAGCTCTGGAAGAAGGCCAGAACTTGGCACTGAAACCTGCCTGAAGAGGCCACCTGGAGAGAGTGCAGGGTTTCCCCTGCCTGGCCCCCGCTGCCCAGTAAAAGTGGATTTTAGAGGAAAAGAATTTCACTGGGAATTTGACCCCTCACCTTGTCTCCATCATATAGGATGGTAACTGGGACCACTGCTAAAGGTCACAGGCTTCAGCCCACATCAAGGTGGTCAAGGCAAGGGGCCCTGGGCAGAGGCTGGGACACCAGGGAGCAGGGATCCACAAACTCCTGACCCCACTGCTGCCTCAGGAGACAGGTTTACATCTGATCAAAGCTCCAGGCTTGTGTGGGCACATCCCATGTGCATCATTGTCGCGTCCCAAGGGTTTACTTTCTGCCATGGTGTACATCAGGCTTGTTGCCACTCTAGTGCCTGCCTTAGATGAGGCATGAAGGAAGACGAGCCTCCTCCTCCCTCAAAACTGTCCAGGGACTTTGTGGCCTCGTTCATCTGTCTGTTGTGCCTCTTTCTCCTTAACTTATTTGCCCTGCAGTCTAGATTTTGGGAAGGCTGGTTTCTCAGCCTTCTAGTCTGTGCCTTGTTTGTTGTTGTTGTTGTTGTTTTGTTTCATTTTTGTTACTCAGAATCATACTTTCACCAGCCTCTGGTAGCTGCCTCTGGTGGCTGCCGTGTAAGGCCTGAATTGCCACCAGCCAATGACATGGTTCTGAGCAGCAACAATTGATGTCATTGTGTGTGTTCCTTTTGTAACACTTGATCATGGGGAAAGAAATGAAAGAAGAGAAGAGAAGAGAAGAGAAGAGAAGAGAAGAGAAGAGAAGAGAAGAGAAGAGAAGAGAAGAGAAGAAAAGAAAAGAAGAAAGAAAAAGACCACCTAAATTGTGTTCATGGTCCTGTGGAGTTGCTGGCTGTGGTGCCGCAGCGTTACTGGGAGACACGCTGTGCTGTTTGCTGATCGTGTCACTGCGGTACTTGTAAACCTCAGGCCTTGCCTGGTTAAAACCACACATCTCTGTGAAAGCTACTGAAGTGCCTTGGGAAATGAGGAAGTTTTCATACATAAAATGATTATTTTAAATAATAACAGCTGCCCGCCATCTTCCTTTCCGGAATTCGGGGTGTACCTAACATACCGTCTGCTGACCTCTCTGTCAGTTGGGGTTGATCCTTGAAGCTGACTGGGATTAGTCTCACAGGCAGAGCGGAATTTGCCCCTGCCAACTGACCATGGACTGAGCCAGCCTCCTTGTGCAGGTGTCTTAGCTTGGGTTCGCCTGAGAGCAGAGCCCAAGACTGGCACTTGTGTGAAGTAGGAGTCAGGGATAGGAGAAGGGCAGGGATGGAGGGAGATCCAGGACGAAGATTCACGATTAGAGTGGCCAGCGCCATGGGTGCTGACTTGCTCAATGCTGGCTGAGCACCCTTGACTTGTCGACACCCATGTGTCAGAGGCAGCTCCAGCTGTCAGCCCTGCACAGTTCCATGTTGCACACCTGTGAGTTCAGACAGGTTCTGTCACACAGATGGAAAGCAGATCCCTGGGGAGATGCTGGCAGGAGCCCCCAGAGGTGCTGCTTTGCTCACTGCAGCAGCAGCTAGGGGCAGGGGTAGAACCAAGGGAACCAGGGATCATTGTGGTGCCAAGAGGTGTCTGTCTTTGTTTACAACTTGTTATGGGGTAAATTGGGCTAGAAACCATAGTGAATTCCAGAATTTTAGCTCCTGAGTTACACACACCATGTCACAGACCCAAGAAAGCACCCGGTGAGACATTGTTGGCCCCACCACTCTCCTCAAGCCTGGTACTGTCCTGGGTTTCTGCTGAACTGACTTCCCAGGGCCTGCAGGATCTGAATGGTGTCCCTGCCAGCCCCTTCTCCTGTGGCATCAAAGGATTGTGTCTCCACTTTCTCTCTGACTCTTGTGTCAGTGGCTGTTGTCGTTCTGAGGGTGAAAGCTGTGCTTCACGCAGTGCTGGGAGACCATACCATGATGGGGCAATGGTCTGAGTCACTGCTGCTGCTGGGGTCCAATCAAGTGTTGCAATATCTAAGCCCTCTGTCTAGTTTGTTGCAGAAAATCAATTGGACAAAAGTTAATTCTTTGAAAAGATAAAATTGCTAAAGTTTTGACCAATAAAAACATGAGAAGACTCAAATTACTTGAGAAAATTACTATCGGTCTTACAGAAACAAAAAGGATTACAAGACAGTACTAGGTTCAGAATAAGCTAACAAATTAATCTAGATGAAAATGGAAAGACTCCTGGAAATGCAAAAATTACAAAATTTAAAGGATAAACAAAGTATGAATAGACTAAAATAAGAAAAAAAAAACTGTATGAATAGCCCAAACCCTCCCAACAACAACAAAAGCCCAGAATCAGATGACTTCCCGGTGCATTCTAGTAAGCCTTTAAAGAATAATTAATACCATTCCTTCTGAAATGCTTCCAGAGGATGGAAAGGAAGAGAATACTTTGGAGCTCATTCACAAGGCTAATGGCAGACAAAAATGCCAAACTAAAACTTTATACTAAAGGTCTATGAGAACAGATGTAAAAATACTCAACAAGATACTAGCAAACCAAATCAGTAACCTAGTAGGAATGTTGCATGTTCTGCTATCGTTTGAACATGATTTGTTTCCCACACTCATGGTAAGTTGATGGCACTGAGGGTCATCACCAAGGACCAAGTGGGATTTTCCCCAGGGATGCAAGGGTGGCTCATGTGTTCAGGAAGCCAGCTGTTGTGGCAGGTCCTTGGGTCACTGGAAGTGTGCCAGTAGTGGGCAGTCCAAGGAGGGTGGTTATAAAGGTTGGCTTGGGCTGGGCACACTGGGCCCTCCTCTCCTTCCTGCTCACCATGTGGCTTTTCCTCTGCATGCATTTGCCACAGTTATCTACCACCCTGATCAAGTGTCAAATATAAAAGGGTCTCCAGGGCCTGGTGCAATGGCACAGTGGTTAAGGTCCTCACCTTGCATGCCCGGGATCCCATATGGGCGCCGGTTCTAAGCCCGGCAGCCCCGCTTCCAGCTCCCTGCCTGTGGCCCGGGAAAGCAGTCTCTCCTTTCTGTATATCTGCCTTTCCAATAAAAATAAAATAAATCTTTTTTTTTTAAAAAAAAAAGGGTCCCCAGAACTATGAGTGAAAGGAAGCTCCTCTTTGCTTGGTAAGTTTGTCTGGAGGATTTCATGACAGGAGAAGGGCTGGCCAGACCCCAGGGATGAGCGGTCAGGTTTTGACAAGTGTAAAGACATGGCTGAAAGATGTGAGACTGCTCCAGCCTGATATCATTGAACACTGGTATCAGATAACTCATGTGATTTTAATTGTAAACTTACCAAGCCACCTTCTGACCATCACACTCCACATTACATGGGTACAAAACAAGTGTTCTCACCAGGCAGCCTCAAGAATCCTGTGTTCACAGTTCTGCTCCTAAGAAGCTTGGTTAAGCTTCAAGCCCTGGCTCTCACTACCCTACAGGCTAGCCAGGTAAACACAGAGATTGCCTTCCTCTCTTTTGTCCACCTTCATCTCCCCCAATTTACTCTTCACACAGAAGCAAATCTTATCCTAGTTTTCTTGCATGGGAGTCAAGAATTATTAGACGAACAAGGGACTTCCAGCTTTTGTCCTTCTTGACAATTTTCTTTTTCCTAGTCCTTCACGGTACAGACTAAAAGCATCCACTTCTGAGGAGGGAAATCCAGGCTGTTAAGAGTTTCCAAGACCATTATGTGGCCTGTCTCATGCCCTTGCCCATTCTTGAGGGAAATACTTCAACACCCTGAGTCTTCCCATCAATCCCAGCCTAGGACCAGGCCAAGCAGGGAATGGGTTGACTTTACAAACAGGCAAAACCACAGTGGCTCTGGGTAGATTAAACAGTTTATTTTACTTTTCATTCCAGTTATCAGACTGCTGTATGTACACACACACACACACACACAGCAAATCATGTTTGGAATCCAGGGTTTTGCCAGTGGTTTCGGAGCAGCCAGACGCGCACAGTGCTGCAGTGCTGCAGTGCTGTTCTCTAAACAAAGCCCGCCCCACGGCAAAGCCACAGGGACCAACTGGCAGCCCAAGTCTGAGGCTACATCCGAAAACCAGGGCAGTCACTTCTCTATTTTGAGGGCAACGAAGTCCAGACTGTGACAAGTGCAGGGGAGGCAGCCTAGTGCTGCCCACTGTCCACAGACAGCCAGGTAGACACACCCCCTTCCACCCCCCAGCCTTCAAGGAGCCCCCCTAAGGGCTGACAGAAAGGCCCATGACTTCTCTACCTGTGTGTAGTTTCCTCTAATCATACGTAGTATTATAGCCCATCCCTCAAGGGGGCAGACCAGGGGTAAGTAGTGAAATAGTCTTGCCAGCCACACAGAGCCACGGCTTACAGCCTGGAACCGCTAAATCCCGGTGTGTTAATGGGCACTAGAGCCCAAACCCTGGGCCTTCCGATCACATCAAGGGGCTGCCGTTTCACCGACATCACCGACATTTTAATTTCTCTCCGGGCCAAGATGAAGTGCCCGGTACACCTCACGCTCAGGGCCCCCCTTCAGAGGTTAGCTCCCAGCCGGCCAAGCCGCAGCACCCGCCTTCCTCGAGCCACAGCGGTCAGGTCCGGGCCCGCTGCCAGCCGCCGGGCCCAAGTGGGCACAGACTGGAGGACAGAGGGGGAACCCGTTGTCCGAGCGAGCTCAGCTGGGCTCGGGCCGCGGGGCTGCAGCGCTCACGCCGTCGCCGTCGTCGCCGGCCCGGCGCGCGCATCCCCGGCTGAGGCCCCCGCCGCGCGCCCCGCGCTCACCGCGCCTCGGCCCCAGGCCCGCCCCCGCCCCCCGGAGGTTTTCGCTTTCGCTTTCCTGCCCGCCGTCGTTGAGGAAAATAAAGAGACCGTGAGCAGAGCCCGCGCAGTTGCCGTTTCTGGCGAAAGGCTCGGAGTGCTGCGGCGGCGGTGGCTGCCGGCTGGGAAGCGGGGTCCCGGGGCCGTGGGCCGCGCCGGCTGAGGTAAGCGCAGCCCCTTGGCGGCCGCCTCGCGGGCTCCTCCTTGCGGACCCGGCGGGCCGGACGCCAGGCACCCGCTGACGCGGCGGGGCCGGTCCGGGCTCCGGCGGCCGGCCGGGGATTCCTGCCTCGGGGTGGGGAGGGTCGCAGGCGCCCGGCAGAGCCCCGGGGCCGGGCGGAGAGGCACGACCACGACGGAAGGCCTCTGCACAGGCGCGGAGGGGCTGGCAACCTGGGCTCGAGGTGGCGAGGCAGACCCCGGCAGAGCACAGGTTTCGTTTTTGTAATAAAACCTTCCAGGGTTTACTAAAAAGAGTGGGGAGATGTGGGGAAAATGCTGAGTGGAGGCCTCACCTGAGCTCAGTGCCCGCCGGTCCCATCCCACCTGTGGTTGTTAATTTTTCCAGATCTTATACACCTGGCCGGCCTCGGGCGCACCTCGGATGCTTTCCAAGGGCTCCCTGACCCAGCAAGCTGGCAAGTCACCTCTTAATCATGGGCCAGGGCCACCCCTTACTCCCCTGCCAACGTGAGGCAAGGGACCTCCTCAGCAGGAACCTAGAGGTTCTGGCTGGCAGAGATGGTCAGGGACTGGTTCACTCAAAGACTGAGCTTGTCCCATACCAGAAGGCTTCTGCCCACCGCACTCATCAGTGTGAAAGAAGAGTCCCACCTGTCGGTGTCTGCCCAAACATTCAACAGCTCATTTGTGTGTACAGATTGGAACTGCACCCCAGGCTGTGGGGCGGCCCCCTGCAAATTATCTGTAGGCAGGTTCTGTAGGACAAGAACAGGTGGCTGACAGCAGAGAGCCCGACTCTTCAGGCACTTGACAGTTTTTGTGGACAGTAGGAACGCCCTGTTTACCCAACAATGAACTTGGGAATCGCGTGCCTGGGACCCTCCACGTTTGGGGCTGAACCAAACTTGAAGGATCTGAACTTTGACAGATGGTGACTCCACACACTGATTTTCAAAACGTGATGAGGTTACTCTGTCCCGACCTCAAGGTGTAGTGTTTTTAGGGGAAAAAAATGCTGTCGTTTTCAGGAGCTGGAAAAATGGGTTTTATGACTCACCTTCCTACGCTCTGGAACCCTTGTGTCTTCCCTCCGGTTAATGAAATTTGGGCCGCAGCAGATGGCTTGTTCCTGCTGGTCCTAACCTCCTGTGACTGGGAAGATGGCAAGTGTGAACCACAAATGCCTTGTTAGCTCCCTGGGATCCTAAAAGGAGAATGGCTCAGTTGAACAACAGGCCTGCCCTGCCCACCTCCTTGTTCTCTCCGTTGCTTCATCATCCGTCAGTTTGGCCATCACTTGTGATGCACTTTTTTTTTTTTTAGATTTATTTCTTTTTGTTTGAAAGACAGATTTACAGAGAGAGGAGAGACAGAGAAAAAGATCTTCCATTCACTGGTTCATTCCCAAAGTAGCCACAGTGACAGGAGCTGAGTTGATCCTATGCCAGGAGCCAGGGGCTACTTCTGGGTCTCCCATGTGGGTACAGAGTCCCAAGGCTTTGGGCCGTCCTGTACTGCTTTCCCAGGCCACAGGCAGAGGGCTGGATGGGAAGAGGGGCTGCTGAGACACCAGTTGGATCACTTGTGCTGGATGCTTGTTATGCCACTGCACTGGGTTCCTGTGATGTACTTTTTAAAATTAGTTTTTTTGTTAGGAAGTAGAGATTGGGTTTTAGTGTATTTTTTTCCCCCTAGAATCTCAGGTTTTACAGCTAAGTTCATAGCGCACTACAATATTTGCCCTACTTAGAGCTGCCTCTTTTTGTTGTTTTAAAGACTGACTTATTTGGAAGGCAGAGTGATAGAGGGATTATAAAGAAAGACCTCTTCCATCCACTGGCTCACTTCCCAAATGGCCACAACTCCTGGGACTGGACCGGGATGTGGAGCGTTTCATTTATTTTATTTTGCTTTTTGCTTTTTGCTTTTTGCTTTTGGTTTCGCTCCCAACACCTACCCCACCCCTGCCTTGAACTTAGACTGGCCTATTTATTGCGCATGCTTCCAAGTCACGTACATCACATGGTCTTTGAAAAATGGATTGTGTTTTGTTTTCGCTGTACTTTGCCTAAGCAAATACTGTTGAGCTATACTGCCTTGTTTTCTGTTTCCTCAGCATTATGAATGTGATTCAATCCATGTTACTATGTGTAGATCTAATTTGTCGCTCCGGGTTGTTGTGTAGTTTTGTATCAGAACTGTACGTGGCTAGAGTACGCTTAGCCAGTCCCCTGGCTATTTCCATGTGGTCTCGTGCACCGGTTTTTCTGAGAGGGATGATACAGAGATACATGGCTTTGCTGTTTCTAGGGTTCTTGTATGCTGTCTGAACTAGAAATTGCTACTTTCTACTGCTGTGGGTTTGTAGGAGATAGCCTTGATGTGCTGGTCCTCAGGGTTCCACCTAGTTTGTAAGGCGGCTGGGACATTTAGGCCAGTGATGTCCCCTTGGGCAAGAGAGCAGGTGGGCGAGCTTCAGTCACCTCTTTCCATGGTTTGTTAATGGAGTGGATTGCTTTATTGTGATGTGTTTTTAATACACTTTTAGATTTGATTAGATAATGTCTTATTTAAGAGTTTAGCCTTTATGTGTTTAAATGAAACTGGCCTGTCTTTGCCTTTATTTGTATTAGTCATATTCCAAATTTCAAAACCAGTGTAATTTTAGATTGTACAGTGTTTTCTTGGTTTTCCTTTTAAAGCAGGGGTGGGGAATGTTGACCCTGCAGTCCATTTAAAGTCCTGTCAAGGCCACCGCAGGTGGGCCTTGAAGTTCAATGTTTATGGTAGGCTAGTTGTTTGGGGTTTTTTTTTTTTTTTTAAGATTTCTTTATTTATTTTTATTGCAAAGTCAGATATACAGAGAGGAAGCTCTTCTGTCCGATGATTTACTCCCCAAGTGACCGCAAAGGCCGGTGCTGCACCCATCCAAAGTCAGGAGCCAGGAATCTCTTCCGGATCTCCCACGTGGGTGCAGGGTCCCAAGGCCGTCCTTGACTGCCTTCCCAGATCACAAGCAGGGAGTTGGATGGGAAGCGGGGCTGCCAGGATTAGAACCAGCGCTCATATAGGATCCCAATGTGTTCGAGGTGAGGACTTTAGCTGCTGGGCCACTTTGCCAGGCCCGCAGGCTAGTGTTTAAGTTGATAATTTTGCATGGCCCCAAATGGTATTATAAATCCAATGCAGATGGCTTCAGACAAGAAAGATCCCTGCTGCTGCTCTGAAGCATCTAGGAGATGGGGGTGCTCTGCCTCCTCACGAACAAAACCTTCTGGGCCTGACACTGTCATGATACTTAACTTTTCTTTCTTTTTTTATGATTGATTTATTTTTGTTGCAGAGTCAGATATACAGAGAGGAAGAGAGACAGAGAAAGGTTTTCTGTCTGCTGGTTCACTCCCCAAGTGGCTGCAATGGCTGGAGCTGAGCTGATCTGAAGCCAGGAGCCAGGAGGTTCCTCCGAGTTTCCCAAGCAGGTGCAGGGTTCCAAGGCTTTGGACCATCCTTGACTGCTTTCCCAGGCCACAAGCAGGGAGTTAGATGGGAAGTGGAGCTGCCAGGATTAGAACCGGCGCCAATATGGGATCCCGGGTGTGCAAGGCAAGGGCTTTTGCCACTAGGCTACCACACCGGGCCCTACTTAACTCTTAAATGATTACTCACTTTTTTTTTTTTTGGCCATTTGTGTGCCAGCTTTAGAAATTTCTATTTTCAAGAATTTTTTTCATCTGTATTTTCAAAGGTGGTGTTGTATAGTTATTTACCTATTCTTTTATACGTTTTTAAGTTCCGTTGTAATTGTTATTTCTTCATTTTTTTTCTTTTGCAGTCTTTGGTCAATTATTCTCTGTCAGTCTCCCCTAGGGATTTGTAGAATTTCAAATAAATAATTTGGGAGTTGTTAGACAAATTTTTTTTCTGTATTTTGTTCTGTATATTTTGTTCTCAGTATCATCTGTTTCATTAATTGTGCCCTTACATTTATTACTTCATTTCTTTATGTTTCTGTGGTTGCGTAGCTTTATAATAGATTGAAATAGACATTCTTAATTAAGCTAGGAAAGCCTGCCCCTTCTGCCTCTAAACCCACTCGTTATAGTAAGCCATAGTTGCCATGGTGATGTGATTTTCTGACTTTTCCCATGCTCATGCAAATATTTTCTGACACCTTCTGTGCCAGGCGAGTAGTGTAGGTATCTATTAAAATGGGTGGAAAGTCTTGAACTTTCAATGGCATTCATATTTATTTTGTAAAGATTTATTAATTTCTTTTAAAGGAAGAGTTACAAAGAGAGGAGAGAGAGAGTGAGAGAAAAATAGAGGCAGAAAGAGAGAGCCAACATTGGGCCCATCTAAAGCCAGGATCCAAGAATTTTTCCAGATTTCCCACATGACTTCAGGGGCCTAGGGAATTGGAATTGGGTTATCTTTTATGTTTTTTGAAAAATTATTTATTTGTTTGTTTGTTTTTATTGGAATGGCAGAAATACAGAGCGAAGGAGACGCAGAGAAAAAGATCTTCCATCTGCTGGCTCACTCCTCAAGTGGCCGCAACGGCTGGAGCTGAGCAAATCCGAAGCCAGGAGCTTCTTCTGGGTCTCCCACGCAGGTGCAGGGTCCCAGGGTTTTGGGCCATCTTCTACTGCTTTCCCAGGCCACAAGCAGGGAGCTGGATCAGAAGTGAAGCAGCTAGGATATGCACCTGCACCCAATTGAATCCCGGTGCATGCAAGGCAATGACTTTAGCCACTAGGCTACTGTGCCAGGCCCTGTGTTATCTTTTACTGCTTTCCCAGGCACATTAGCAAGGAGCTGGATTAGAAGTGGAGCAGTCGCATTGCAAACCAGTGCCTATCTAGGATGCTAGTGCTACGGGAAGAGGTTTAACCTATTACACTGGCCCCCGTTCGCATTTACTTGGAGTAGTGATACATATGGCCTTATTTCTATTTATTTCTATCATTTGTCCTGCCACAAATTTATCATGAGTTCTTTCTCTGCCACCCCATCCCCTTATGACTCTGGATTCATGCAGACATCTTTGTCCATTTTCCCTTCTCTTTGTTTAGTAAAGAGCGCTACAGCATAGATAAACCTAGTTCCTATCAATGGCAAAAAAAAATAATCAGAATCTGTAGCCCATTTCCAAATGCAAGAAACCATTCATTCAGCCTGTTTTTGGTTCTCTTCTTCTCCACTTCCCCTGTAAGCAATATACTGTTAGGTGTCTGCTCAGGAATCATCGGAACTATCTGGAATTTTCTAGTTTTGTTAATGCTTCATGCTTCAATGCGTACTTTATTTTCAAACTCTGAACAGATGCATTAATCTGTAGTCTATCTCTGCAGTTTGTGTTACTCCAGGAAGAGAAATTGTAAACAGGAGTTTTTTCTTGGCGTTTGCATTGGCTTAACTGAACCTTTAGAGCGACTTGTTTCCTGTGAGTAGTGCTTCTCTGGGTCTCTTATTTTTCCAAGATAAGATTTCAAGATAAGAATTTGTGCTATTGTGATCCTCATTTGACCTCTGCTGGCACAAAGACATTTTACTGTTTGTAAATGCCAAAGTCACTTCCTCGTGTTTTACTGAGTTTACTTTAGCTTGGTTAAACCAATCAATATTGCTTTGTGTAAACTCAGCACTAACTGAAGGCTCATGGAATCGAGCTGCCGGACAGCAGGGACTGGCCACTAGGGTATAGAAATGGTCTATGAGAAGATTTTACATGGAAAAAAACCTCTTAGAAGTGGCAGTGCTTTTAACATTTTTGTTTATGATATCTCTTGTTTATGAAAGTTAAATACAGTGGACACTTATAGTGAAGTAGGATAAAATGGGCTTGGCTAGTGCTTGGGTTTTGATTGTCAAGTGCATTTAAAATATTTATTTATTTCATAAGAGCTATAGAGAGAGACAGATGGACACACATACACACAGAGCAAGAGAGAGAGATATCTTCCATGAGCTGGTTCACTCCTCAAGTGACTACAGTGACCATGGCTAGTTAAAACGAGGTTAGAGCCAGGAGGCAAGAGCTTCCTACTGTTCTCTAATGTGGGTGGCAGGGGCCAAAAAACCGGGAAAAAGAGAGAAATCTTTCATGTGCTCACTCCCCAAATGGTTGCAATGGCTAGAGCTGGGCTGATCCAAAGCCGGGAGCCTGGAACATCTTCCAGATCTCCCATGTGGACATGGAGACCCAAGGATTTGTTCCCAGGAACATTAGCAAGGAGCTGGATCAGAAGTGGAACAGCCAAGACTATAATCAGCATTTACATGGGATGCCAGCACCACAGGCAGAGAGCTAACGCTCTGAGCCGTGGCAACCGTCACTTTTATTGCTTTTTCCTCTCAACAGCCCCAATAGAGAGACTAATTAGGAGCCGCCTCTCTAGGCCTGAATCATTTGCTGGAGTGAAGTAGATGCCAAAAGTCTCCTAGTTGCTTGTTTACTCATTCTTTACTTTCTATGTTGTTCTACTGACCATTTCTAAATGTTGGTCAAAATAGTGCTGCTGCATCTCCTGGGTCGAAGTTGAATATGTTTAAATTGGGACACGACTGGGAATTTCCTGCTCCTTCTAGGGTTCTGGGCTCTAAGCAGGTGAGCAGTCCACATCCTGAACCTGATGGAGGCCCCTTGTGGCACAACACCTTGTAACACCTGCCCCTACCGGGGTTACAGCAAGACCAATTCTTGCCCTCCTTCCCTCCTGACACACACCACCACCACCCACCCAGGGCTCTGCTGCAAATTCTCACCTCTCTTGCCTGGTGCCTGTCTGGCCTTCTGTTCACTTCCTGTCTGTTTTCAACCCAGTCAGTGCTTTCTAATCTCCTACCCCTGCTGTCCCAAACAACGACAGAGGAGGATTTTACAGCTTTCCTGTTGGGGATGCCAAGAGTCCCAGCATCAAGCTTGGGCAGGACTGCCTGCCTTCTGGAGGCTCCACTTGAGAAGTTTGTTGTTTCTTCCAGGTTCCCCAAACCACCTGCATTCCTTAGTTCCAGGTGCCTCCTTCCACCTGTAGAGTAGACAAATGCCTTTTATGCTGCATCCCTAGGGTGCCACTGTGGTCCAAACTGACTAGGGCTCCCTCTTAGATGGACACCCATGATGACGTTGGGCCCCCAGGGATAACTTCTCTGTGGTGAGACCCTTACCTTAACCACCTGTTTTGCCCCTGTTGCCATATCCCGGGAGATTCCGACATTGATGTTTCTGGTACAGCTCTAACTTCACCTACCAAACCATGTTCATCCTTGGCTATGACCCTTGCATGGTGCTTTAGCATGCAGAGAATGAGGCCCATACTACTGTTGTGGTTGGGAGGGCCAGGCTCGGGATGCCCACACCCCTTCTCCAGCTGTAGGCCATCTCCCATCCTGCTTGTCGCCCACCATATCACCTGTGCGCATGGCAGCTTTTTGCAAGGGGTATGGTGTCTCAGCACACTCTGTCTCAGGCCTCAGCCAAGGGCAGCTACTCCCCCCAGAATACTCTTGGAGGGGTTGTGCCTTCTGCTATGACACTTAAGCAGAGTTGGGCATCTTTGCATTATTGAGGTGGTTGTTTGGTAAATCCGTATTGGTAGACCCCTGGTGTGTTTCCTCCCCACGGTTGTATCCCTGGCCTAGGGCAGCTAATATGCAGATGGAAACAAGGAATGGCATGGTTAGTAAGAAGCAGGGACTGAATGAATAATGTCATTATCCCACTGTGTACCCCCACGGTTCTGCCTTCTGTGGTTCTTCCTTTTTTTTTTTTTTTTTTTTCCTTTCTCTCTCTCTCCTGGAAGGGAAGCTCCCTGAGAATAGGGACTTCATTTTAGGTGTTTGCTGTTTTCTTCCCAGGTGGCAGGATACATCTGGTCCACACAGGCCCTTGGAGCAGTATCTGAGAATGAATGGTCTGCAGAGGGCACATAATCTTGCACAGTTTTCATGTTTGGTCCCTTTTTGAAATCCGTTGTTATCAAGTCTTCATTTTATTTCACCCTCACTCAGCAGTCCAGTGATTTGGCAGAGACCTTCCAAAGCAGTCACCTGCTGTTGGTAGGACTGAGTAACTTCATAAACAGGAGCCAGGCAGAGCAGCGCCTGGCACCAGCAGTCTGAGGCGAAAGTCACTGTTATTAAGAAACACTTGAATTCTGGGTCATTTAGACATCTTGCTGACCCTGCAGACTGTGGCGGAACCTCAAGCCTAGGCTGTCTGTGTGGCCCTGTAGGTCTTGGGCCTGGATAAGTGCTGCTGGCTTTTCTACCAGGGTGAAAGCCAGGTCTCCCAGCTGCCTGTGGGCCAAGCAAAGCTGGGTGGATGAGCTGGGCTACTGCTTATGATTTTTCTTGTTTGGCCTGTAGATGGCAGCACGTCCTGGGGCTCCCTGCAAAGAAGGCCTTGGCCAGGCAGGTCAGCCAAGGCAAAAATGGACTCCCTTCTCCCGGAGCCATGAATGCCAGCCCCCAGCTGTGGGTGAGTGTGCAGATCAGCTGGGGCTTTTCTCTTTGTTTGCTCTTCTTTATGGGAATTCCTGGAAAACACATGAGTTCAGTTTGGAGTGATGTGTAATTTTTAGTCTTTTCACAAAACTGAAAAACGATAGCAGCGAAACCAGAATTATCCATCAAGTGTTGCAGAGGAGAGGCAAGGCAGAGGGACCCTATGGCATTGAGGGTGTCCCCGTCTGCACTGGGTGGGGGGCTGTAACACCCCCAAAAGCTGAGCTTACATGTAGTGAGGCCTGCACTGCAGCGACCCTGTGGTTCTGGTACTTTTGGGGTGCACTTTGCATGGCAGCGACCAGCTCACGTGTGTCTCCACATCACAGATTTCTCTTGGTGCCCTAGAAAGGCTCTCTGCAAAGACCTTTCCCAGGTTTCTGCACACCCTTGGCAGTACCTTTTCCTTAACTACAGCACCTTTGGGGCTTGCCCGTCCAGGATGCTGCGGGCTCCACCCCTTGTCCTGACGCCTTCTCCGCAGAGAACTTGATGAGCCCTTGTCCTTCACCCTGGCCTGTGTCAGCTTGGTCCTGCACTGTTTGTGCTTTGGGTTCCCTGCATGGAATTGCAGATGGACACAGGCATGTACTGGGCTGTGATTTCACCAAAATCCAAGGCCTCCTAGAAATTTGTTGTGGTTGGAAGAGGGAGGTAATTCTGTAAGTCAAATCTGTCTTTGCTTTTTTTTTAAATTACTGATTTTTAAAATGTTTGAAGTTTGTGTCTAATTACCTTCTTTCACGCCTCGAGGTGGTTTTACATATTTTTTTTTGTTTTTAAAAAAATATTTATTTTTTTAATTTTTATTGGAAAGTCAGATATACAGAGAGAAGGAAAGACAGAGAGGAAGATCTTTGTCCATTGATTTACTTCCCAAGTGGCCACAACGGCCAGAACTGATCTGATCCGAAGCCAAGAACCAGGAGCTTCTTCTGGGTTCCCCCACTCAGGTGCAGGGTCCCAAGGCTTTGGGCCGTCCTCGACTGCTTTCCCAGGCCACAAGCAGGGAGCTGGATGGGAAGTACATCGGCCAGGATACAAACCAGCGCCCGTATGGGATCCCAGTGCATACAAGGTGAGGATTTAGCTATTAGGCTGTTTGCACCTGGCCCTGTTTTTCACTTTGTAACCTGATGGCATCAGACATCAGGCTACAGGGTTTATATCTCTTTCATTCTTGGACAAAACCTGAAGAAATGGATCATTTTATTTCTTTGTTAAAAAAAGGGAAATAGGGCCCAGTGTGGTAACTCAGCAGCTAAAGTCCTCGCCTTGCATGTGCTAGGATCCCATATGGGTGCCAGTTCTAATTCTGGTGGCCCTGTTTCCCATCCAGCTCCCTGCTTGTGTCCTGGGAGAGCAGTTGAGGTCAGCCCAGGGCTTTGGGACCCTGCGCCCATGTAGGAGACCTGGAAGAGGCTCTGGACTGCTGGCTTCAGATCAGCGCAGGTCAGGCCATTATGGCTACCTGGGGAGTGAATCGACAGATGGAAGATCTTCCTCTCTGTCTCTCCTCTCTGTATATCTGACTTTGCAATAAGAAAAAAATCTTTTTAAAAAAAGAGGGAAAAGGGGGACCCAATCTGTTAGCCTAGTAGCTAAATCCTCATTTTGCATCTTCTAGGATCCTATATAGGTACCAGTTTGTATCCCATCTGCTTTACTTTCCATACATCTTCCTGCTTGTGGTCTTGGAAAGCAGTGGAGAATGATTCAAAGCCTCAGGACTCTGCACCTGAGTGGGTGATCTGGAAGAAGCCCCTGACTCCTTCCTTCTGGCTTTGGATCAGCTCAACTCTAGCCATTGCCACGGGGGAGTGAACCAGCAGATGGAAGATCTTTCTGTCAGTCTCTTCTCTCTCTGTGTATCTGCCTTTCCAATAAAATAGTAAATATTAAAAAAAAAAAAAGAAATAGAAGAAATAGAAATAGAAAAAAGGGAGGGGCTGGTATGGTGCCCTGTGACACTGGCATTCCATATGGGTACCAGTTTGTAACCTGGCTGCTCCATTTCCCATCCAGCTTCCTGCATATGACCTGGAAAAGCAGAGGAGGATGGCCCAGGTCGTTGGGCTCCTACACCCATGTAGGAGACCCGGAAGAAGCTTTTGACCTCTAGTTTTGGATCAGCCTAGCTCTGGCCATTATAGCCATTTGGAGAATGAATCAGCGGATGAAAGACCTCTGTCTCTTCTCTCTTTATAAAATCTGCCTTTCAAATAAAAACAAATAAATAAACCTTAAAAAATAGAGTGAACAAGGTCTAGACATGAAGTTACTCATGGAGCTGAACTGTAACTAAACAAATTGGTGTGGTCCCCATGTCTTTCCTCTATCTTTGGTCTTATTAGAAAGTGAGCCCAGCCACCATATGTGCAGGATGAGTCTTGTTTGTTCCGTTTAGTAAAATTCATTGTCCTTGAAAGCCAGAGAGAGTGAGAGAGCAAGAGACTGTGCCTCTGCTCCCACACTCCCCAAGTGCCTGCAGCTGGCCAGGACTGGGCTCAGGCTGAAGCCTGGAGCTGGGAACTCAAGCTCCTGCTTGGGGGGTCAGGAACTCGGTCATTAAACCAGTACCACTGCCTCCCAGAGTCTGCATTAACAGGAACCTGGAATCAGGAGCCATAGAACAGGCCATCTCAACCATAAGGGTCCATACCCATGGCCACATTCGACCTGAAGCCGGAGAGCTGGTCTTGAGGTGTCCCTGGAAGTTGATGCGAGGAATACCCCCTAGGAGTGTGTGGCCTGCAGGAGGCACAGAACAGAGCTGGGCCAGAAAGAGGAAGGAGGCAGGTGGAGAAACTGTGGGCAGCAGGATGCCATCTGCTGTTGGTGCAGCTTTCTGTGGTCCACCCGCAAGCTGTGATCCCCTGGGGCTGGCCAGCTGGGCAACATCATTCACAGCGGTGTCCCTACATGTCATCACCCCACTCCTTCCTCACAGAGTCAGGTTTGCTGGTTCTTAGTAAAAGCAGGTGTTCAAAAGGATATGTCAGGACAAACCAGCCCCTAGGGACCTTGAGAGACACAGCTCAAAAACATTTCCGGTTGCCTCCGCCTCCCCCACCACCGTCTTTTTTTTTTTTTTTTGTGACTGTACCACCAGTCAACAGTTTTCAGTTCAACTGTTTTCCTTCCTGAAATCTTCCTGTGAGTCTAATTCTTGGGGTTTGTTTTAATTTTCCTGCTCTCTGTTTTCAGGGAGCTCCTGTGCTTGTCAAATATCTTCAGAGGTAAAGATGACTGTTTTCCACACAGACCAAGCATACAGAAATGGGAGGGACTGCGGTGCGCCTCCTGGGTACTTTGCATGACTTTTTCCCCCTGTATTTGGAAAATAGAATATTTGGGGGACATTTTATCTAAAAATTTTTTTAGAGATATTTGAAAGACAGAGCTACACACAGAGAAGGAGAGAAAGAGATCTTCTATGTGCTGGTTTACTCCCCAAGTGGCCACAACAGCCTTGTCTAGGACAGGCTGAAACCAGGATCCAGACCTCTATCCTGATGTTCTACATGGGTGGCAGGAGCCCAGGTCCTTGAGCATCTACTGCCTTTGCAAGTGTGTTAGCAAGTAGCTGGATCAGAAGTAGAGCAGCCAGGACTCCAGTTGACACTCCAGTATGGGATGCTAGCATTGCAGGTAGTGGTTTAACTCACTGTACCACAATGCTGGCCTCACATTTCAACGGCGTTCTAACTTACAACTTCAAATGAGTCAGTCAGCAGGAATGTAAGTGCAATTTTTGAAGTTTTGCTTATTTATTTGAAAGGCGGAGATCAGAGAAAGAGAGATCCCATCTGCTGACTCATTCCCCAAATGCTGGGAGTTGGGCCAGCCCAAAGCCAAGAACCCAACTTCAATCTGAGTTTCCCATGAGGGCGACAGGGACCCAATTCCCTGAGCCATCAACTGGCGTTTCTCAGGGGTGTTCAGCAGCAGGAAGCTGGAGCAGGGAGCATAGGCCTTCCAGGATGAGATGTGGGCAGACCGCAGGGCCTGTGAATGCTTCCTTATCTGCAAGTAAAAACTGGCCTGCATGGTTCAGGGCTCTCCTTGGCTCTGACCTTGTGTGACCTCGTCTCCACATGTGGCTCCAGTTGCTCAGCAGCCACAAGCACTGGGCTGAACCAGTTGTGGGGCAAAAGGGCCGTGGGTTAACAGTCTCCTGGTCTCTGACACTCCAGGACAGTAGGGGACAGAATCAGGCCAGCATCTGATGGGCTGCAGAGCAGCAACAGCCCAGACCAGTTCTAAGAGCTGCAGGACTAGATGCCGGGTGACAGCACAAATGGGTCCCTGCTGCTGCCCTCATCCTCCTCCTTGCAGGCAGAATGTGAGGGTTTCATTGTCCCAGCAGAAGAAAGAATTAGCCTGAGGGGAGCAGCAGCAGGCAGCCAGCACACACATCAGGGGGGCTGAGTGCTCCCTCCTCACAGGCCACAGTGGGAAGGCAACTACAGGGAAGGTTTTGTATCTGTCTGCCTGGCTGCAAACCCCAAGAGACCCTATGAGCTCCCCCAGATCCCTTTACGATATCAATTTGCTAGCTGAATTAACCCCTGTGGACCCTGCCTGGGGTGGAGCTGCAAGGGGAGCCTGGAAGGGCTGGCTGCCCCTCTCTGGAACCCACTGTCCACCAGCTCTGCAGAGCCTAATATCCGGGTGATGAAAAAACAGCATTTGCAAACTCTATTCCAATGTTGATGTTGTCAATGTCTTGACCACAGCAAGAGGCCTGTTGTTCTCCTTGCTGTGCCCTCCCGCAGAGGACAGGGGACTAGGATTCTGTCTCCTCTCAGCCTGGGAACTGGCTTAACCATTCCTGTGTCACCTACATGAATTTGGTCAGTTATGCCATTGCTGGCCAACAGAAGGGGAGGAAGACCCAAGTGACATGCGGAGGCTCGTTCCCATCTTGGGGGTCCTGAGTAATTTATTCTGTGGATAAATTCCTTAGAATGT